TGGGCCCAGACGGGCCTGGCCGGATCAGCCGCTAACCCCCCCACCCCCGCGGCACGGCACTGGGGGGGGTGTCGCTCCGAGAACAATCAGGCTTGCGAGACAAAGGCTCTCGCTCGTAATTAGCGCGTGTCGTTGTGGCCGATCTCTGATTAATAGAGAGGGACCCGAGCGCCGCCACAAACAGCCGCTCACAGGTCTAGCCAGAGATCCGGCATCTCCTTCCCCGCCAGAGTGGGTCTGTGGGCGGGGCAGCGTGGCCGGGGGCAGTGTCTGGGGGGGCAGTAGGGCAGCATGGCCAGAGTGGGTGTGGGGGGGGGCAGTGTGGCTGGGGGGGGCAGTAGGGCGGGGAGGGGGCGTGGGAGCAGCTGCAGGAACAGAGGCCCCAGGGACCTGTCCCCTCTCCCTTGGGAGCAGTAGCCGCAGGCACTCCAGGGACAGGCGGGCGCCAGAGATCCCATCCCATCCACATCAACCGTGGCCAGAGCCCCCCCAGCGACCCACGAGCCACCTGCGTGTCCAGGCCCTTCCCTGGGGCAGCGACAGACGCCGGAGCCGACCCTGCGGGCACAGCCTGGCACATCTGCCGTGACAGGCTCTGCCAGGCCCCCCGCCAGGCCCTCAGCCTGTGACCGTCCTTCCCTCCGTCCTTTCACTCTGTATGCATCCGAAGTGGGCTGTAGTCCACGAAAGCTTATGCTCTAATAAATGTGTTAGTCTCTACGGTGCCACAAGTACTCCTGTTCTTTTTGAGGATACAGACTAACACGGCTGCTACTCTGAAATCTTCCCTCCACAGCGCAGCCAGAGCAGGGAGTGGGGGCGGGGGGGCAGGCAGCAGCGAGCCCCCCCGCCATGCCCACAGACCCCCCCTGCCACTAGCTGCCTCCTGGAGGGGGATTGTGCTCAGTCAGCCCAGGGCCCCCCCACAGCCCCTGACGCAGCCCCTCCCCCGCCCCGCCTGGGGCCCTTGTCCCACAGATCGCCCCACACACACCTTTTAGGGTCTGGGGGCTGCATCGAAGCAGGTGCAGCTTGGCCTTCTCTGCGCCCCCAGCACCCTCACCCCACCTGGCCCATGCCCAGCTGAGGGGCACCCTGGACGTGCGGGGCGAAGGGCTGCCTGGGCTGACAGCAGGGGGCTGCGGGTCAGGACTGAGGGGCACCGGCAGAGCCCAGGGCTGGGTAGCAGGGGTCTGTGGGTCGGGGCTGGGAGATGGTCGGGGTGAATCCCGGGCTGGACCAGTGGGGCCGCCTGGCTGTGGCTTGAACCCCTCACTCGAAGAAGTGTCATGTCCCCACTCCGTCCCCGGACGGAGGAGCCGATGGAGTCGGGGGGGGGGGGGCTGTCACAGGGATGCTCTGAACCCTGGCGGGGCGGGGGGGGGATCCGTGCCAGGTCGCTGGCCGGTGCCCGCCGGGGAGACACTCGCTAGAGACGCCTGGGCAGTGGAGCGCGGCCCTGTCACCGCGCTGACAGCAGCGCTGGCTCCGTGACACCGCTCCTGCCGGGGGGGGAGGGAACAGCTACCGGAGCAGGAACTGGAAACCGCCCCCTCTCGGCAGGGCTCCTGGCCCCTGTTCCAGGGCACGGCCCGGGGGGGCTGCTGCTGTCAGCGCTCAGGGCATCCTCCCCCTTCTGCTGCAGCCGGGTGCGCCTGGTCCAGACTGGCTGCTCCCCCGCTGCCCTCGCAGGCCCCCCCATCCTCCCCGCTGCCCCCCATCTCCCTGCTCCCCCATCTACT